CTGTCAACCCCGATCGCCTGAATTCAGTCTAAGGATCCCATATGATAAGGAGAGAGTTATAGCTGACTGCTGAGAGTTGTCCTCTGACCTCCCTCAGAAAAGAAATAAGACTAAGAAGGTGAAGAAGGAGAAGAAAGAAGCAGAGGGAGGGCAAGGCAGCGCACCCTGACAATGGGGGCGGGCCAGTGAACCGAGGGCAGAACAGCTGCTGTGCCCTCATGACCCCTCCTAGGTCGCGCTTTCTCTGACCGGTTATGCATCACGTTTACTGCACATGCTTTGTTTGCTATGTGTCGTGCAGGTGGGGAGGGGTTTCCAGTCTCACACTGTCAGCTGGCTTCTTTCATGTGTTCGTCTGGATTCTGCTTTCTCCAGTCCCGACTCTCCTGGCCGGGCTTCTTACAAGAGCTCCAGCAGGCTCTGCCCTTGCTACTTGAGTTGTCCATAAAGGTGAACTCAATATACAACAAGCTTAATCCGGGTAGGACAGCACCCAGCAGGCAGGACTTGTTACCCAGTCAGCTCCTAAGAGAGTCCTGGGTTCTCAAATGTGTCTTTTGAAATTCATTGACTTGGCAAAGAGTTTTGCATTTTGTCCTCTCAGCTCGTGGTTCCGGCTGCAGATGCACACCCCTTGATTTGAATATGCACATCACACGCAAATGTGATGGATAATGCAAATTACTATACCAAGAGCAATTGTGGTTTTGGCCAGTGATGGATACAGACTCTGTGCGGTGGCCTCAGCCATTATTCTTTGAGGCTGCCCCATCTCTGCTCTCATGAAGAGGAAGAAATTTCTGACAATATTTCACTTGTTGATAGAGCCATGATCTCCTTGTTGTGTGTTCAGTAACCCTTTGTGTGGAGACATTAATACACCTCAGCATTCAGAATGAGAGTCAGAAGCACAGGAAGCTAAAGATGTCACTTGTTTGCTTGCAAGCAGCAGGACTCACAGTGGCTGGTCCTCACCATGGCTGTCCTGCTCACAGAGGCCCCACACCCGCGTGTTGTCCTGAGTTCCTATGTGTCTCCATCTGGGTACCCTGGAGGCATGAGTTGTAGGCTCTGACCTCCACTGGGCCAAACAGGATCTCATTCCTGGAGGTTTGGAGTTAATTCCAAATGGGTCATGTTCTCCATGAGACTGGATTAGAAACCCCTGAAATCAGGAGTAATGAGAAGCAGGAGTTACGAGAAAAGCGGCAGTGATGGTGCCGCCGGGACCTCTCGCACCCTCAAGCTGGCCCTGGTCTTTGCAGAGCACCAGCCTAACCCTGCTTCCTGACTCTGTAAATGGCCTAGATCCTTAGCAGAACTCCCGCTCTTGGAGTCTATTGGTTGTGATTAACCACAGTTAAGAGCCTTAAGTGATACAGTATCACCCCTTGGGGGCGGGGCAGCACCACAGCACTGGTCACCGGGGCATAGAGTGTGGAGACAGGATGTGCACATGCAGCCAGTAGATCCTCAAGGGTGAGCAGGGAATGCCACTCTAGTTTCTCACCTACCTCTTGACTCCTAGGTCCAAGACTCCAGCCTGTCACAATGGACGATGATTCCTAGGACATACAGATGACCCCTCTAGATACTGTACTTCCCTGGGGTTGTAATGGAGACCTCAGAAGGCCATCCTGCTGTCTGCCAACTCTGGCATGAGAGGGATTGTAATGAGTACGGCCTGTCACCACGCTGCTCTGCTCTGAGAGTCGCTCTGTGGAAGCATAGCCGTGTGCACAGTGTCTCTCTGTAAGTCACTGTGCAGCGTGCAGTGGAGGACTAACCTCTCTGCAAGGATTCAGGCTTTCCTGTTCTAAACCAATTAACATATTTTAAAATAAAGAATGTAGCGCCCAGGCTGGCCTTGAGCTTATGGCAATAAATATCCCAAGCATTCTTTCCAAGATTACAAGGCATGAATTAAGGGCCATGGGATTTAGCAGAAATGTCTTTTGACAGGAGACTATATTTTAATAAGGATACAGTTCTTTCTGTCTGTTCTGTGACGGAAGCAGTTTGATGTAATCAAGCAGCCACCAGGAAGCTGGATGACCACCAGGGGGCAGTGCTGTGCTGAAGACTGTTGATCTTTGCTGCTGGCAGATCGGGCCCAGTGGCTGCTGTGTCTGGGTGGGCCTCCGTGAATGGAGATCTAGGTTGCTGAGCCGACACCTATCCCTGCTGCCATGACGGCCATGCTCACAGATGCAGGGGGTAACAACAGGGTAGCTGGAGAAAGAGGTGGCTGCTAATTCCGAGCATGCCATCCATCCGCTTGAGGTCACCTGTAAATGGAGACTGCTCGTTCATTTCCCACTGTCCTTTGGGCAAAGAACTGCCCCTCCCTCGACTGCTGACAAAATACATGGTGTCTAGATTGGACAAGCAGGAGACAAGCAAAAAGACTGCCAAACCTTGCCAAGACAGGGCAAGACGGTTTTTCAAATTTCCCTGTCTCTGAAAATGGTCTCACCGTTACTCTAGGCCTTAGCCAAAGTTGGTTGCCCCAACGTTGCAAATGAGACTTTGGGTGATGGCTCAGGTAGCCGGTTGTCTCTGTCATTTGTTGCACCTTTTGGAAGTTGCTTGATTACACTTCCTGTTTACTCAAGTAATATTATTTCCCTTCTCAGGTCTTCGATGGGGTTGAAGTCGTAGTTACTTTCCTCTCATGACTTTGCCAAGCCATTTTAAATATAAGACTTAGACTGCTTAGGATAGGCTAGCTATTGAAACATTTAGCATATGTTTCTTGTTTGATGTTGTTCATGCTGATTGTAATTGTATTTTTTAAAAAAATATTTATTTATTTGTTATGTATACAATATTCTATCTGTGTGTATGCCTGCAGGCCAGAAGAGGGCACCAGACCCCATTACAGATGGTTGTGAGCCACCATGTGGTTACTGGGAATTGAACTCAGGACCTGTGGAAGAGCAGGCAATGCTCTTAACCGCTGAGCCATCTCTCTTGTAATTTTTATGTATGTTTTTGCCTCTTCTTTTCCCTGGGCAATACTTGATATATATATATTTTTATTGTATATAGCTTTGTATTAGGCTTAGAACTCTCTTATTTAGACAAAAGAGGAGGTGCTGCAGGAACTTCTTTAAGATACCAGCCCACTTTGGGCATGGTCTCATATACTATAAATGCAAACGAAAAAACATGCACACCCCTCTTGGCTGCTGGATTTGGTTCCAGTTACCAGCGCATGCAGAGGACTGTGCATCACCACCCTTATTGTGAGTTTATTCCAAAATTAATGTTATACTCCATTCTGGGCTATTGTGGAGCTCTTTTGTACACCATTAGTCACCTCCTGGTGAGCACTTACAGGAGACAAAACTACCTTCACTTTTATGTGTGTGCATGTGTGAGTATGTGTGCATACAGGTACTCACAAACGAGGTGGCATTTTAGTTAAAAATATGATTCTGATATTTTATGTTTTTAAAAATGTTTTACTTTCATTTTGTGTAGTTGTATATCAGTCTGTCTGTCCATCTGTCCTTCCGTCTGTCCGTCAGTGTCTGGGAGGGGGGGAGTGCAGTGGTAGCCGGAAGAGGGCATCATCTGATCCGTCCTCTAGAGCCAGGTTGGCAGGTGGTTGTGAGATGCTCAGTACAGAGCCTATAGAACCAAACTCTGGTCCTCTGCATGAACAGCATATGCTCTAAACTGCCGGGCGGGCCGTCTTTCCAGCCCCGCTTTCAGACAGTTGATGTTGTATATTGGGAGGTATTCCTAGCTATCCCTGGGTGTGGGTCAGATATTCCCGGGAATGCTCTATGGCAGGTTGACCAATTCGATCATATTTACTGTGAGATACCTCTCAGGGAAGGAAAGGGTTAATTCTAGCTTCCAACTCCAGAACACAGCCCATTACTGAGGGGAGTCAAGGCAGGGACTTGAAGGTAGGCCTGCCTGATATTGCACACAGCATTAACCTCCAACCAAGAGCCCCCTTTACTGCCAAGGAGGCACAGCAGGATCCTCGGAGGATGCTGTCTGCCAGCTGGCTCATCTCTGGGCCTCTGTTCGCTGGCTTTCTTACACAGTTCATGACTACCTTCCTTCGGAAGTGGTCCGCAGTGGGCTGGGCCTTCCTCACTAGCTAGCTGTCAAGGCATTTCTTACAGACCTGCTGTAGGCCACTCTGATTTAGGCAGTCATGGACTAAGGCTCTCTTCTCATATGACCCCAGGCCGTGTCACACTGACAGTTAAAGCTGAGTAGGACACTCACTCAGTGCCCTTTTCAACCCTGTCACCCACACACTAAATCCAGTCTCTGCTCATGTCTTTATTAACTTGAGACCCATCGGCCTGTGCCTTCTCAGAAGGCCCCTGGTGACAGGCAGGTGCACCAGCGTCTAGTCCCCTCTTCTAGCTGTCACAGGTCCCTCCCTTGCTGCAGAAACTCTCCCGTGCTTCTTCACAGCGTCCCACTCCTGCCTCAGGCTTCACTCACACCTAGGGCTCCAGGCCTTTGGCTTCGGGCTAACTACTTCATGGAGTTCGGTTTTGTAGGCTTATTTTTGCCTCCGGATCCAGAGGCGAGGTCATGAAGGGCCTGGCCCCTGACTGGCACTTCCTGTACCCACTGTCCTGTAGCAGGTGCTTTGCTGAATGAGCCAAAGGCAAGCGATGGAGGAGGTGAGCCAGCAGCCTTGAACTTGGCAAGGGCCAAGGCCTGTGTGCTCGGGCCAGCCCAGCGCTGCCAGCGATTTTCAGCAATGGAGTCACAAGTCATTTCTGAACAGCTGCTCCCCCGACCCCCGTCATCTGTCACTTGGAGTAGGAAGGAGTCTCTGCCTTCTCCTGCATCCTTTCTTTTACTCCTAGTGTCTGGGAAAGCGCCCAGTCCTTCCGTCCCAGGACACCCTGCCCCATCGCACTTCCCCCTCTTGGTTTCGCGCAAGTGAAAAGCAAAACTTTCTGAGCCCTGCGGTCTGGGAGCCGCGAGGGGCGGCGCGCGCGTGCGGGCGTGCAAGGGGCCGAGGCTGGAGAGGAAGCAGCGGTCCTGGCAAGGAGGAAGGAGCCTCCCCTCCTCGGCTCGGCCCCCTGCCCGTTTGCCACCGCCTCCCGCGGCCGCCAGCGCCGCAGTCACGGGCGCAGCAGGCGGCACGATGCAGGACGGGGGTCCCCGGGGCGCTCCTGTCCCCGGCCGGAGCCACGGCTACGCAGGTAGGGCCCGGGAGACACGAAGTGGGGAACGCGGCCTGCCGAAATCCGGGTGTGGTTCGGGTTATAACTCTGGTCCTCCGCGCCCTGGTGCAGGGGAGGGAAATCGAGGCAAGGAGCGGGCGTGCAGGGCGAGGCCGGTCAGTCTCCAGGGGCCACTGCAGTTCGCGTTCTAGCACGTCCTAGCCCTGTGACCACGGACTACCCGGGAGCGCAGTCAGCCGAGGGCGCGCGCGGTCGCTCCTGCCCCGCGCGTGTCGGGGTGGCCCGGCAGGCGTGGGGTGCGCCCGAGTGTGGGTCGGTCTTGGGACTCATCAGCCTCAGGTGACCGGCGCAGATCCTGCGGGTCTGCAGGGCGAGGTTGGGAGAGGTGTGGACAACTGCAGCTCGCACCTCCCGGGGACTGCTCGCCGCCCACTTCCGATTGTGGACTGTGACGCGCAGGGCAGGGCAGGCTGAACGGACCCACTCCATTTCCTCTATCAGTCTGGGCCACCTACCAAAACATCAAGTTAAGTGGGTTCAGCAACGAAGAGACCTCATCAACTCACTGTCAGAAAGCTGAGAAAAGGAGCAGGAGCGGGGTGGCAGCACATGCCTTTAATACCAACACTTGGGAGACGGAGACAAGAGGGTTGCCGAGATTTTCTAGGGCAGCCTGGGCTACGTAACGAGACACTATCTCAAAACCAAAATCAGAACAGAACAAAAACCAAGCACGGAGCCCTGCTTGAGACCAGAGCGCTGCAGTTTGGGCAGGCAGTGCTGAGGGAGGGAAGGCCAGGGACTTAGGCGCTTCTTTTAGCTCCTGGAGCCCCGGTTTCCTCATCTGTGAAAGGAACACTAACCTCGTGCCTCCCAGTCTCCTTAACCAGGTTGTGTGAAGACACTTTTGCAAATGAGAGTTGGAAAACACGGAATTGGTGGTGGGGTGTGGGATAAAAGCCTCCTGCGTGCCCCGTCCTAGACTCACGTCTCAGTTTCCCAATCTTAACGTGGAGCTAATTTTTCTACCTACTCAGTAGGGTTGTTAAAGAGTAAAGACACGAAGCCTTTGGCCCAATATCTGAGATACACAGAAAGCTCTCAAAAGTCTCTTAGTTGCCTAGGCTAGCCTTAAACTCACTGCGTACCCCATGCTGGCCTCCAACTTGGTATTCTCCTGGCCTTGGCCTCCCAAGTGCTGGGATTACAGGTGTGCTCCATTACACACTGGCGCTTAATTATTGTTTTGACCATGCAAGACCTAAACAAGCAGGGGTGATAAAGGATGCCAGTGTGAAGTGGTTAGCATCTGGAGAACAGGATGTTTTAAAGGATGTTTGGCATCTTGTGTGGAGACTGCTGAGGTTCAGCCAGGACTCTGTCCACAGCAGAAGAGCCCTGGACAAAAACCTGCTTTCTGAGTTGACACCCCAATCCTCAATTTTCTCTTTGTCCCCCCCACCCAAAAAAGAAAAGAGAAAGGAAAACACTTGGGTGCCTTTTGTACCCAGAGTGTTGTCCTAGGGTCAGTGAAATAGAGCGTCTGGAACTTGTGGGGCTGGTGCCACCCTGCAGATGCCCGGTACCACGTCTGCAGGGACTGCATGCGCCAGGCACTTGCTCCTGCTCTTAGATGGAGTCCTCCCCGAACCTGTGTGGGGCTGGTACTGCAGTCCTCATGGTCCTTTCGACACAGCAGAGTTTGTGACTGTCCTGCCCGTTGCCCAGGTTGGTAAACAAGGACAGAGTTTCAGAACCCAGGTGAGGGTGTCTCTAGTCGCTGATTGAAGGGGAGGCATCAGGTAGGGGTGAGGTTAAGAGCTGCCCTATGTCAGGTCAGAGGTAATGATGTATCATTTCTCTACTTCTATCTTTTTAAAGATATATATATATATTTATACAGTATCCTGCCTGTAGGCCAGAAGAGGGCACCAGATCTTATTACAGATGGTTGTGAGCCACCATGTGGTTGCTGGGAATTGAACTCAGGACTTCTGGAAGAGCAGTCAGTGTTCTTAACTGCTGAGCCATCTCTCCAGCCCTCTACTTCTATCTTTTATATCTATCTTTATCATCTGTCTGTCTGTCTGTCTGTCTGTCTGTTCACCTACCTACCTACCTATGTGCTGTACTAAGGGTTAAACTAAGGCCTTTTTCATGCTAGGCAAGCACTCTAGCATCCAATCACACCTCTAGCCTACATTTTTAATAATTATAGGTTCTAAAAATAAGGGTAAATGACAGAAAGACCTTTGAAACACACCGATTCTGTTTGTATTTTATAAGGTCCTATTTTGTGGTGCCTTTTTGCAGAAGAACTACAAATTATGAAAATTTCTCAAATAAAAAGGCATTTTAAACTTTGAAAGACCGTATAGCGAGATCTTAGCGCAAATCTCAAAGTGGAATTTAGTAGACGCTTTATTTTTAACATTTGCCCTTGCTGAAGGCAGGAGGGGCCCGTGAGGTGGACGTGGCTGCAGAGAGCTCGAGGCGACCTGAGATGAGATGAGGGGTTTCGGAGAGGAGAGCCGAGGCTGGGACTCTGCTCCGAAATGAATTCCCAGTTCTTCCATTTCTGAAATGAAGTATTTCTTGTTGATTTTGCTTTCTGTAGGAAGTGCAGAAGTTGGCACACTGGTAAAACCCACCTCACATTAAAACCCTGGACTCTCACCAGAGCAGACAGCCTGGGCCTCATCCCCTGCTGTGTTTCTCTGTTCACATCAGCTCACACCTGTTTCAAAGACGGGGTGCGCAGTATTTTTATTAAATGAAGAAAGTGATACTTGCTCACTGCTCAAACATCTGAAGACGTTTGGGGAGAAAAAGAGCCAACTTTTTGTACTCTTTATTAGCTGGGGAGTGGTGGCCCGTGTCTTTAATCCCAGCACTTGGGAGGCAAAGGCAGCTGGATCTCTGTGAGTTCGAGGCCAGTCTGGTCTCTGAAGCGAGTTTCAGGAGAGCCAGAACAGTTACACAGAGAAACCCTGTCTCGGAAAAGAAAAGTCTCCATTAAAAATAATCCTTATTAATTTTTTTTGTGTGTATGTGCATGCATATGTGCACATGTCCAAGGAGGCTGGAAGAAGGTATCAGATGCCATGGAGCTGGGAGTTACAGGGTGTTGAAAGCTGCTTGTTATGGGTGCTGGGAACTGAATTCAGGTCCTCTGGAAGATCAGCACATGCTCTCAGCTGCTGAGCCATCTCTCCAGTCCCTGAAGACATTCTTAGCATTTTGATTGCAGTGCCATTAGAGGTTCAGTTGTGGAGGTCAGGATTTTGTTGTGGTTTCAACTTTGACCTTTGGAGCAAAATGATAATGATAACATTGACATTAGGTGATCTACAGACAACCAGGTGGTGGTAGCACACACCCTAGTTCCAGCACTTGGGAGGCAGAAGGAGGTGGAAAGCTGGATCTCTGAGTTTAAGGCCAGCCTGGTTTCTAGAGTAAGCTCTGGAACAGTCAGGGCTACACAGAGAAAAACAAACAAACAAACAAACAAACAAACAAACAAAATACTAACCACGTCAGTATCTGAGAGTAAGAGTAAGAATGGGTGATATTTTAGTTAGAACCGCTAGACAAAAAGAATTAGACTTGTTCTTTTATAATAATAATTATAATGATAACCAATATCATCATCAACATTGATGGTATGTGCTTTGTTTTAATGCCACCCTGGCTGTGTCCACACTATGTACACGCCTTGGGCAGCCGCTCTGGGTTGGGTGTGGTCCTCTCATGGCATGGCAGGGCCTCCTATGTTGGTCATTTGTCCCTTAGCATCCTTTCAGCTCTGGAGAGTCATGTGCTGTTTGGGCTTGACTCTAACAGCACAGCGGGACAGCTCCTCAGATGGCTCTGGACAGCGTCTATGAGTCCTTTTGAATCCAGATGCTGTAGCCATTCCGAATCCACTCTCTCTCAGAGCCAGGGCTCCCCCTTTGTGGACTGCAGCTTTTCACACTAAGAAGAAGAGGAGAGGGAAGGAGGACTGGGGCTGCCAATGGATGAAATATTGGTATATGGTTTTGGGAGGTGGTCAGGGGCTTACATGAGTTTCCCTTCCTCTCTCTGCCCTCTCCTTTGATGACTTGCCTTTGTCAGAGCTCAGGAAATGGATAGGGCTGCCCCCAGTCAGCAGGACCCCTGCTCACTGACAGCAGTCAGTGGAATTCTCCAGTTCACTGCTGGATGGAGCTTTGAGTTATTAATTTGGGACATAACTCACTTGGTGAAGTGCTCACCGTACTTGCAATACAGTCCTTTGTTTGATTCCTTATGTTAAAAAAATGCTAGGTGTGGGGGCACATCCCTGTAATTCTCACACTGGGGAGGCAGAGACATGAGAATCCCAGGTGCTCGCTGGTCAGGCAGCCCAGCTGAACCAGTGAGCTCCCTGTACCGTGAGAGACTCTGTCTCAAAACAGAAAGTGGAGCGTGAAGTGAATGTCGCGTGTCGTCATCTGCTTGCTCCTGCGTGCGCGCGCACATGCGCACACACACATACACACACACACACACACACACACACACATACACACACACGTGAACATTTGCATTCACATCTCTGCATACATCCTGATAGGTAAGACTTTGATGTCCCCGTTTAACAAGTACAACTGTTGATAAGCGTGTATGTGTGTGTGTCTATCTTTGTGTGCAAACCAAGCTGCTCTTGAATTCAAGGTCTTCCTGACCCAGTCACCTGAGTGACTGTAACATACTGAGTGAGTATAGGTGTGCCCCACTGTACCCCACCTTATGCACTGTGTATCTGGAGACCCGATTAGGGGAAAAGCAACAGCCCCACTGCACGCCTTAAAAGCATTAATGGAGACTGGAGAGATGGCTCAGCCGTTAAGACACTGGCTGTTCTTCCAGAGGTCTTGCATTTGATTCCCAGCAACCACATGGTGGCTCACAGCCATCTATAGTGGGATCTGATGCCCTCTTCTGGCATAAAAGTGTACATGCAGATAGAGCACTCATACATACAAGAAATCATA